CTGCGACGCGCTGATGAGATCCAAAAAGATCGAAATCGCGATCCGCGTCTGGCAGTTTCGACAGAATACAGACCACTTCGAATTAAATTATTTTAGTAAGTATCATTGATCATCAAAGTCTGTAGTGAACTTTTAGTTGAGCTAGGAGTTCAAATTTACCATCAACGGGAAAATAGAGCTTTAATTAAGTATTATAAAGGGGTTTTCATGCAATTATTCCTCTTGGAATGAATAAAGCGCTAGACACCAAAATAAATAAAGAAAGATGTGTGGTCTTGTGGGACATCCGGTAGGAACGAAGTTTCTTACGCTATTCGACAAATATTAATTTCATGTAAAATTGCTGGTAAGAAAATAGCTTCAGAAGCTTTTTAAAATAATTCATTAGATAGACGCAAGATTTGAATAAAAACAAATTGTGTTTTTTTTATTGGATCGTAAAGTACCTAAGATAAGGTTATGTATGGAATAACACATCAAGCAAATGACCTCCACGGCTTTGCTGGTACATACACCCCCTTTTGTCGAAATGTTTCGTGACCATTTTGCATAAATGTGTTTGAATTTCATTGTGAAGTGTTGCATTTCCTCTTTCAATGCACGCGTGCTTGCGGACTTGTTGGCATAAACCTTCGACTTCATAAAAAGAAATCCAATGTTGGTTCATCACACGATATAGGGAGGTAATTCTTATCAGTGGAACGAGAATGTACACGGTCAGGAAATGCCTCATGCAGTAATTGAATTGTTTCACAGCCTGTAGGGCATGTGGCACCGTCTTGTTGAAACCACATATCATCCACCTCAATCTCATTCATTTTATTTTATACTGAAGTAGAATGCCCTAAATTGTTGACTCAGGATCACTCACTGACTTACTTATAAGTATTCATCATCATAAGGTCGTCAATCCTAAAAATGGTTGAACACGCACCTGCGCTCTTTCCTGTCCTGAACTAATCTTCGCATTTCCCCAAAACTAGAACAATCCACATCCTTAACTATTTGCGAACAGTAATCTAATCTAGGTCTACATCTACTTCTCTTATATGTCTCTGACTAGATCTTCATGCCTGAGAAGGTGTGCTACTAACCTATCTCGCCTATTTCGTATTGACTTCCATAGAGTCCTCTGTTCTCCTATTCTTTCTAATACCTCTTCATTTCTAACCTTCTCTATCCACGGTATCCTCATCATTCGCCTGTAACACCACGTTTCGAACGCTTCTAACCTTTTCTTTTCCGCCGCGCCCACTGTCCATGTTTCGCATCCGTACAGCGCCATGCTCCAAGTATACACCTTTAACAATCTTTTTAGAATTTCTAAATTATTCTTTCGCTAGCATAGAAATGACTTCTTTTGATTGAAGGCGACTCGACCCTGCGCTATCCTTTGCCTTATATCCCTACTACTTCTTCCGTCCTGACTTATCTGACTTCCTAGATACCACTTCTAGTTTTTCGTCTCATCCATACATTCGCTCTATCCCTACTTTTTCTTCCTTTGCATACCAGTATTTTTGTTTTACTTTCATGCAATACTGTTTTGTAGAGATGCTAATACTGCTATATCATCTGGAAATCTAAGCATACTAATCCTTTGTCCCTCTATATCTATCCCTACAGTTGTACTGTCTTGACGTTAATCGCGTCTTCGATGTATAGATTAGAAAGTAGCGATGACAATGTGCATCCCTATCTAACTCCCTTCCTAATATTTACTTCTCTACGTTGCAGCTCCAGCTCCATAACTGCCTATTTCTCTTCTTCTTATAAATATTAACTATCAATTTTATTTGTAGCAATAAACGAATGCTACACGAATAGAGCACTAATCATTCTACACATGTTTTGCATAACCAATTGCTAAATTAATCCAATTCAAAGACAACGAGTATCCTATATATAAAATTATATTACTAGACAGTGTATGTGGGAGCACATATGTATATGCATGTATTAATCAGCAAACACTTGAACGTTTTCACAGTAATTGAAAATCGATATATGCAAAGTTCACATATTTTCATTTTGACGGATATTTTGCGGCTCTGTTTTCGCCTTAATCAACATGACCGTTATGTCAAGTACGTCTACAATACTTAATTAATATTCACCCTCATTTGCCTAATTTATTTTCACTCCTATTCAATTTTCTTCTTACAGGGGTCGACTATATGCATCCCGATTTGAGATTTAATTACGTAAGTATTAATAGCTTCATTAACTATTACATGCGTATTTAAACAACAGTAAACAAAAATATAAGTATTTAGAACAGTACGCTTCTAATACAATAAGAAAAATAAAATCACAAAAAGGAGCTCTTGCATTAGATCCAATTAGAGTTCACCTTTTTTATTCACATACGAAAAAATAAGAAATTTAATTTTTCTGTCACTATTGTTCTTAGAATGTGGAATGTTTTATCTAGTTTGTCTGAGAAATTGCAGTTTTTTGGTGATTGAATATACGGGATGCTACGTACAATAATAGAAAATGTTGCCACTGTTCTTTGTTTAGAACATTTTAAAAGTCAAAACGCCCCATTAAAGTAAAACAAACAAAAAACGTAAATGCGTAGCTGTCCAATTTGGCCAATACATACTTCGTTACCAAGTATTAGATACAACTTGGCGGAACGTTTATATGTATATGTTAGGCTCGAAGACAGAAAACGCTCAGTGGCCGGAAAAAACGGCCACATCGCGTTCTGGCTGCCTTCGAACGCACAGAACGCGTTTTGGCTGTTTTTAAACGCTCGCAACGCGTTCTGGTAACTGTTAAAC